AGTCAAATTTCCTTTTGATTAGGGATTTAAATAAGGTGACTTGGAACACCAAAACTCAATTCCAAGTGGCGACTCTAAATAATAATTATCCCTTTTCAAAACGTCACTTTGATTGAAAAAACTCTTTTTCTTTCGAAAAATAAAAAAAAATTGAGGGAAAGAAAAGGGGTGTGACAGATGGCGACTCTGCTGGGGACTAACTAGAATTCGAGCTTTAAATATTAAATTTATGTATGACTATGACTTATTTATTTACACTTTTTGGATATTGTATTTATTTTAACTTAATCTGCTAATGGTTTATTTATTTAATATTTTAATAATATTTGAATTGCTTCTCTCCCGAACCATTTTGAGTCTTCAATAAAAATATGACGAGAATTGCAACTATGCACCCCACTTCTGTCAAGATAGCCAGTGGATCTTCGGTCCATGGTGAAGGATATGTAGTCACACCATTTTAGGATAGGGAGCACCCATGCACAAAGCCGGAAAGCGCTGCTACCGGTACGTTGCTACTCCCTGACTCGAGTTGTTCGCTCGTCTTACAGCCAGTCTAGATATCTTACCTTAGTAGAATTGAAACTTTCAGACATGAAATCCTTACTAGGTTCCAATTTATTTGCATTGTTGGATGTAACTTAGCGGAATTTAGCATAGGGGCCCAATTTGACTAAGACAGATATCTATTCGTGAGACCATCATGTGCATTTTTGTGCTACTCGTTGTATCATGTGAAGACTGTAACAAAATGTTGACCGGCTTTAGAATAATCAACTAAAAAAATAAATATCTATTTTCTACCCATTTTCAACCAATGATTCAAAATAAAAAAATTAATACACATATATATACATACACACCTAATCCTCAATTTTATTTTTCACTTTTTATTAAAATAATACATAAATAATAAATATAATAATGTTAATAATATATGTATATATGTCTTTTGAATAATACATATACACCTTCTTTTTTTTTTTCAAAATTGTTCGTTCTTTTCAAAACAACCTGAATCAATGATCACTTCAGACATTCCGAATCATTTTTATTTTTTTTAACTACTCCAATAAATAATTTCGAATCATAAAATTTTCACAATTAAAGTTGATTTTAAAAATCTCGATTTTTTTTCTCAACCAGGTAATCATGAGATCTGTGAGGTGTGATAAAAGACCAAGGGATGAACTAGTCGAAATGGTCAATGATCCCCCAAAGTTTATGATCACAGATAAAATCCCACAATTACTAATGTATTGGTGGAACGATATGCATGAATTTAGGCGGACAGAGATATTCAAACATCTTGGTTTCCTTACAGATATCATGAGATTTAGTCCTGACAGAGGTTTGATCGAGGCTTTGATTCCATTTTGGGACTCCACAAATAATGTGTTTCGATTTAGTGATTTTGAGTTGACACCTACATTAGAAGAATTGGGTGGTTTCACAGGCTTAGGCCAGGATCTTCGAACTAAAACACTGATAGCCCCTAGGAGTGTCAGCAGAGGTAAATTTTTAGAACAGATGCACATCATCCATACTCATAAGGAATTTGAGTGTTTTGATAATGGGTTGGTTTCTTTGGAATTCTTGTACTCAAGATATGGAAGGAAAGAAGGATTTTCAAGCTATGGGAAGCAACTTAAAAATGGACAACACCTCCCTACTTGGGAAAAACATAGACAAGAAGCATTCATGGTAGCATTCTTGGGAGCTATGGTTTTTCAAAGGAAGGATAAAAAAAATCGATATTCGTCTGTCAGGGATAATCACTGTTATGATAAAGAAAAGAAAATCCACTATATTGCCGATGATGTTGGCTGATATTTATCATGCTTTGACTAAATGTAGAGAGGGGGAAGATTTTTTTTGAAGGTTGTAGCATTTTATTGCGAATGTGGTTTTTAGAGCACCTATATCGCCATCGTTTTGCGACGGATTTCAAATCTTATTGGACGAATTATATTTTGAGCCACCCAGAAAGGATGAAAGAATTAGGAGACAAATTGCCAAAAGGTGTCAAAGCATGGAGACATTATCTTCTTAAACTGACGGCATCTAAAATTACATGGAACTATCATTGGTTTCCTGCTAGTGAGGTAATTGTTATGTCTTCCTATCGTCCATTCTTCGTTCTGACAGGCCTTCGTGGGTTCCAACCATACATACCCCTCCGAGTTCTACGCCAACTTGAACAAAAATAAATTTTACCTAAAGCTGAGGATACGTGGAATTTTGTGTGGGAAGTAGCATTTGAAGATCGAGATCGAGAATCAAAAGCTCAAAAGATTTGGGGTGGTAGTCGAACTTTAAGTTCGAAAGCTATGATTGATGATCGTGTTGAAGGAGAAGTTGACCCTTTATACCTCCATTGGTTCTTTGATCAAACCCCTCTCAAAATAATGCCCGAAGGATCTGCGCGAGAAATCATAGATCGAGAAGAGGAAATTGAAGTAAGAATCAAGCAGGCCCGACTCGAGGTGGAAAGAAATTATAGGTCTACTTTAGATATCCTAAACAATGACCTAAAAAATGTTAACGAAGAGTTGGCTCGACGTGATGCAATATTCGAGGAAAGAGTTACTTTGATTGAAAAAAGGGTTGAAAAGAAGCATCTATCTACTATCTGAACCCTACATGAAGATTTGGGCATTGTCACAGGTGCTATGGAGCAACAGGAGGAAGAATATAAGAAAGAAAAGAGCCTCTTACAAAATCAATTAAAAGCCGCTATGGGACGAGAAAGGGACATCGCAAACCGTTTCACATTGTACCAAGCAGAAGTGGCGACCGAAAGAAATCAATGGATGGAAGAGCGTGAAGAATTTCATAACCAAATTGAAGAGCTTCAAGCACATGAAGAGCATCTGAGTGATACAGTTATCACTACCGAAGAATGGTTGCAGAATTGTCACGAGAATATGGAGGAGGCGAAAGGACAAGTGCTTCAGTTGTCAGAGAGCTTGATTGATGTTTATAGTGGTCATCTTCATCGAAGTGATGAGAGCCTGGGTCGAGAAGCGCGTGCATTAGCCCCACATCTGCCGAAAGCTTTGTACAAGATCTACTCTAGCTTAGGGGGCAATTGATGATCAAGAAATGTCGGAGATGGATTTTTTATTGTTTTATTATTTTTCCCTCTTTTTAGTTCGTCATTTTTTTTGTAAGTACTTTGATGTTTTATTTTGGTTATTTTGATTTGAATGGTATTTTCAAGTTAAAAAAAAATTGTATTTTTATTTTGAAAGAAATTTATCCAATGAACTACGTAATGATCTGATTCATGTTCAAACATGATACGTAGGCAACCTTTAATAGGTTCGATCAAAATGTATTCAAATTATTCAAGTAAGTAAAGTAGGAGACCAATTGACATAAGCAAGTCATCCAAAGCCGGGATGAAACATAAAAGTCTTCCAAAACACATTGTAGACATATGAAAATCTAGGTGCATAACATACAACGTGAATTTAATATCCTCAATATGTTGAATCCTAACACATGTTTCTTTTATATATATATATATATATATATATGAGAATTTAGAGAGTTTTAAAGGTGGTTGGTTTGTGAGGAGAGTTGGCATCTCATCAATATAACACAAGATCAAAAGGGAAAGAAAAAATGACACATAAAGACGTAACAGAGTTGGAAAATGACGACGCACAAACCCAAATGGTTGCGCAAGAATCGGTACCTATAGAAGAGGTGAAAATGTTAAGACAACAGATGAACGAAATGTACGAAGCTTGGATGAATGGGCAAGCTCCTCCGCCTTCAATTCGAGAATATTTGAATGCGAATATGCCATTCCCCATCCAAGTCTCAACAAGTGACCCGGTTTATCCACCTGGGTTTGGACCCTACATTAACACATCTAATACTGCCGGAACTTCCTTAGTAAACCCGATAAAACCATCAATGATGAATAATACACTTTTCATGCCTACTGTCCAAACTAATACAATTCCTCAACCGATACTGGTAGAATAATCCAATGATGACCCTATACTCAAAGATCAATACGGCCAAGGTCATGCCCCTAAATTAACTTTCAATGTTCCTAACTCTTACCACCACCAATACAGTTCTCCCGTTGAAGTTGAGAAAAACATTAAGAATAAGGAACATGAAGAAATTGCAAGAAAAATGAGGAGTTTGGAACAAAACATAAGGAATATGCAAGGTCTGGGAGGACACAAAAGTGTCTCATTTAAGGACTTGTGCATGTTTCCAGATGTTCACTTGCCTCAAGGGTTCAAAACTCCAAAATTTGATAAGTATAATGGTCATGGCGATCCAGTGGCTCATTTGAGAAGATTCTGTAATCAGTTGAGAGGAGCCGGAGGAAAAGAAGAACTTCTTATGGCCTACTTTGGAGAGAGTTTAACAGGCGTAGCATCAGAATGGTTTATCGACCAGGACATTTCTCATTGGCACGTTTGGGATGATATGGCACAAGATTTTGTCCAACAATTTCAATACAATATTGATATTATTCCCGATCGCAACTCCCTAGCTAATATGAAAAAAAAGCCATCAGAAAGTTTTAGGGAATATGCCATTAGATGGAGGGAGCAGGCGGCTAGAGTCAAACCGCCGATGAAAGACTATGAGCTAATTGATGTTTTTCTCCAGGCTCAAGAACCTGACTACTTTCATTATCTTCTCGCCGCAATGGGCAAGCCTTTCGCCGAAGCGATTAAGATCGGATAAATGGTAGAGAATGACATAAAGTCGGGTAAGATTGTGAGTCAAGCAGCCATTAGAGCTACCACACAAGCAATACAAAGTGGATCCGGTAATTTTACTAATCGAAAAAAGAAGGAGGAAGGGTCCATGGCGGCATCTGAATCAAGGCGTGTTCAAATAGGCATGAACAATCCTTATTGTCAAGTCCAACAAGAACAATATAATTCTCCTCGGCATTATTACCCGTCCCAATATGCAGTTCTCAATACTCAAGCATATATTCGGCCTCCTTCGCGCCAACAATGGCGGGGGCCTACCCCACAAGTTTCTCGCCCACAACAACAAAATTTCCAGGCCCATATAATCCACGTCCCCGAGCAAACTATACGAGAGAACAAGGTCAAAAAGAAAATTTCACCCCAATTGGGGAATCGTATACGAGTTTGTTACGAAAATTGATACAATTGAGACTGGTTGAACCTGTCAATCCGTACGTTGTCAATCCAAATGCAAGAGGATTTGATCAAACTATTATATGCGAGTATCACGTCAACGCTCCAGGTCATAGCATAGAGAATTGTTGGACCCTAAAAAGAGTCATTGAGAAGTTAATTGAGGATAAGGTAATCGAGGTACGCAATGAGGAAGCACCAAATGTCGCCAATAACCCACTCCCTGCTCATAATAATGAGCGTGTTGTGGGGATGGTTGGCATTTTTGAAGATTATGAGCAAACAAGTAGAACAAAAGTGGAAAGCAATGTTTTAAGAGAAGAGTCTAGTATGGTTTTAGAACCCATACAAAGGGCACCGATAATTGTTAAAGGTGCACGTTCGAATTCTGGGAACTCGAGGAAGCTAGTGTTGTATGTCTCTGAGTCTATAAAAAGAGGAGACGTACAGTTGAATGGACCAAAATGCTACATTCCTGGTAAATTTTCAACGTTTGATCAAAATCAAAAAGGTATGAAAGATCCAGTTGTGATACAAATTGCAGCACAACTTCCTATCACAAACACCAAGGCCGTTCTGTGGAACTACAACAAAGTCGTCGTTACTCACAAGGGAAAAGAGATTGTCGAAGAAACAAATGAAACAAGAGGCTTGACTCGTTCCGGAAGATGTTATGCTCCGGAAGAATTAAGGAGGGACAAACAAATCAAAGAAAATCACATACCGATGAAAAAACCACTCACTGAGAAAGATGCTGAAGAGTTTATGAAAAAGATGAAAGCTCAGGATTATTCTGTTATAGATCAGTTGAGGAAAACGCCTGCTCAAATCTCTTTATTGTCATTACTCATACATTCTAAAGAACATCGTGAAGTGTTGACCAGAATTTTGAATGAGGCACATATATCAGAAAATATTACGGTAGGTCACTTGGAAAACATGGTCAATCAAATTTTTGAGGTGAATAGAATCACTTTCACTGATGATGAATTGCCCTTGGAAGGATCTGGACATAATAGGGCTCTACATTTAACCGTGAAATGTGAAGAACACTATGTGAAGAGAGTCATGGTCGATGGAGGATCAAGTGTAGACATATGCCCTCTTTCCACTTTGCAGAGTTTAAAAATCAATAACTGATAGAATTCGTACTAACAATGTTTGCGTACGGGCATTTGATGGTGCAAAACGGGATACTCTTGGCGAAATATACTTAATTGTTACAATTGGGCCAGCGGAGTTTGGAATCACTTTCCAAGTTATTGACATGGACACGTCTTACAATCTGCTTTTGGGTAGGCCATGGATCCACATGGCAAAAGCTCTGCCATCTACTCTACACCAAGTGGTCAAGTTTGAACATGACAAACAAGAAATCATTGTCCATGTTGAAGATGATCTCCCAATCACCCGAGATCCTTAAATACCATGCATTGAGGCTAAAAGAGGTTGTGAATCCCGCAACTATTAGGCTTTGGAGATAATAACAGTTAATCAGTTCTTAGAAGGAAATCCTATCCTCCAACCTCGTCTGTCCTCTACTTCAGTCATGGTGGTGGCTCAAATGGTACAAAATGGGTATGAGCCCGGAAAAGGGTTAGCTTTGTCGTTGCAAGGAATTTTGAATCCTATCAGTCCAATGGGTAATCAAGATACATTCGGTTTGGGTTTCAATCCAACTAGATTTGATAGAAAATGGGCAAAAGATCGTAAAAGAAATGCTTGGAATCTGTCGAAGCCGATCCCCCATATTGCTCAGTCTTTCATTAAATCTCAAGGTGAACCGTGTCAAGACTTACCAATCAAAAATGATGTGGATGAAATGTGCCAAGGTATCAAGGAAATGTTTTATGAGGTAAATATGACTCAGAGGGGTGAGGGCACTAGTCATATGGATGTGCAGTTTATCGGCCCGAATGTCCAACTCAATAACTGGAAAGCCACTCCTTCCTCTCTACAAAAAAGGAGTCATGGTAGTTTCGTTTTGCTGTTTTTTATTTTATTTTCTTGGATTATTCTCAGGGTTGTAATTCAAACATTCTAGTTGTTTCGCTTTATTGTTAACCCTTCTATCCTTTCCCATTCAATGCAATAAAGTTCTAGTCATCTTCTGTGTTCCTACTCTTTCTAATATTTGCCATCTTATTTTCATTTCAGTTACGTTAACTTTAATAATATGACATGTATGCGGAGTTTACAATTAGATCCTAAAAAGTTGTCTGATCTCATAACAATGAATCCTAAGTCTAAGGAATATGATGAAGATGAAGCTGATGAAGAAATTAAAAGGGGTTTGGATCAATTTGAAAATAAGCCTAAACCTAATTTAGGTGAAACAGAGGTGTTTAATTTGGGAACTCCCGAAGAAGTGAAAGAAATAAAGACAAGCATTCATGTCGATCGAACTACTCGAGACGACATAATTCAAGTTTTAATTGAATACAAAGATGTCTTCGCTTGGTCATATGATGACATGCCTGGGTTAAGTGATGATTTGGTAGTTCACAAACTTCCCATACATCCTGATTTTCTACCTGTCCAGCAAAAGCAGAGAAAATTTAAGGCAGATATGAGTGATAAAATCAAAGAGGAAATCATGAAACAACTGAATGCAAGAGTGATCAGGGTCGTCCAATACACTACTTGGTTAGCTAATGTTGTGCCAGTACCAAAAAAGGATGGAAAGATCAGAGTTTGTGTTGATTATTGAGATTTAAACAAAGCAAGTCCAAAAGACAATTTTCCACTACCCAACATTCATATCTTGGTTGACAATTGTGCTAAACACGAGATTCAATCTTTTGTGGACTGCTACGCCGGTTATCACCAAATTCTCATGGATGAAAAACACGCTGAAAAAACTGCTTTCACTACCCCGTGGGGTACATATTGTTATAGGGTCATGTCATTTGGTCTAAAAAATGCAGGGGCAACCTACATGAGAGCTATGACTACAATATTCCATGACATGATGCATAATGAAGTTGAGGTGTATGTTGATGATGTCATCATTAAGTCTAGAACGCAAATTGACCATGTGCGTGATCTAAGAAAATTTTTCGAAAGATTGAGAAAGTACAATCTCAAGCTTAATCCGGCTAAATGTGCATTTGGAGTTCCATCTGGCAAGCTTTTGGGTTTTATAGTTAGCCGAAGAGGCATTGAATTAGACCCCTCCAAGATAAAGTCCATTCGAGAATTTCCACCTCCAAAAACCAGAACTCAAGTCATGAGTTTTCTTGGAAGGTTAAACTATATCAGCCGATTCATCGCTCAACTCATTACTACATGCGAGCCGATATTCAAGTTATTGAAAAAAGATGCTGCTATTAAATGGACAAGTGAGTGTCAAAATGCTTTTGACAAGATCAAGGAATATTTAGCAAATCCTCTGGTACGAGTCCCCCCAGAGCCTGGTAGGCCTTTGTTTTTATACCTCTCGGTAACGGATAATTCTTTTGGTTGCGTTCTAGGACAACATGACGTCACAAGGAAAAAGGAACAAGCCATCTATTACTTGAGCAAAAAGTTCACATCCTATGAGGCAAAGTACACTCTATTAGAAAAACATGTTGTGCTTTAACTTGGGTCGCCCAAAAATTGAAGCACTATTTTTTGTCCCACACCACTTACCTCATATCTCGAATGGATCCTCTGAAATATATTTTTCAAAAAGCCATGTCGTCGGGTAGGTTGGCAAAATGGCAGATTTTGCTTACCGAATTTGATTTTGTGTATGTTATTCGCACCGCCATGAAAACACAAGCGTTGGTCGATCATCTGGCAGAGAATCCGATTGATGATGAATACGAACCCTTAAAGACATACTTCCCTGATGAAGAGATCAACTCTATTGAGGAAGAAATTCCTTATAATGACCCCGTATGGAAATTATATTTTGATGGGGCTGTCGACAAAAATGGAGTGGGAATTGGGGCAGTTCTTATCTCACCAAGTGGTTGCCATTATCCTGCCACAGCACGACTTCGATTCTTTTCTACCAACAACACAACAGAATACGAAGCTTCCATCATGGGTTTGAATATGGCAATAAATCTGGATGTACATGAGCTCTTAGTCTTAGGGGATTCCGACTTGCTCATTCGACAAGCTCGAGGCGAATGGGAAATTCGAGACATTAAGCTCTTACCGTACAAACAATGTTTAGAAGATCTCATCAAAAATTTCAAGTCCATTGAATTTAGATATATTCCCAGGTTTCACAATGAGTTGGCTGATGCTTTGGCCACCCTAGCATCGATGCTTCCATACCCACGTAATACATACATTGACCCGTTGGAAATCCAAGTTAGGGATCAACATGGTTATTGCAATATAATTGCGGTAGAGGCAAATGGTGAGCCTTGGTATCACGACATCAAACAGTTTATAAAAGCTAGAGAATATCCACTGCATGCTGATAGAGATAAAAAAAGAACTATTAGGCGACTCGCCAATGGGTTCCTCTTAAGTGGCGATATCTTATATAAAAGGACTCCGGATTTGAATTTATTACGATGTGTGAATAATCAAGAAGCGGAAACAATTATGAACGAGGTACACTAAGGGGTATGTGGCCCACACATGAATGGTTACGTCTTAGCAAAAAAGATTATTCGGGCAGGGTACTATTGGTTGACCATGGAGCGGGATTGCTTCTAATTTGTTCGCAAGTGCCATCAGTGCCAAATTCATAGCGACTTGATTCACTCACCCCCTTTAGAGTTGCATCCTATGTCTGCTCCATGGCCTTTTGTTACATGGGGAATAGACGTTATTGGGCCAATAGATCCAAAAGCATCTAACGATCATCGGTTTATTTTAGTTGCCATCAATTACTTTACCAAATGGGTAGAAGATGTCACATTCAAATCAGTTACCAAGAAAGCGGTGGTGGACTTCATTCATTCCAACATCATATGTCGTTTTGGCATACCAAAAATAATTATTACAGACAATGCAATGAATCTCAACAGCCACTTGATGAAGGAAGTTTGTGAGCAATTTAAAATTGTTCATCGCCATTCAACCCCTTATCGTCCCAAAGCAAATGGGGCTGTTGAAGCTGCGAATAAGAACATCAAGAAGATTCTTAGAAAAATGGTGCAAGGATCTAGACAGTGGCATGAGAAATTACCCTTCGCTCTCATGGGATATCGCACGACTGTTCGTACGTCAGTCGGTGCAACTCCTTACTTATTGGTTTATGGAACTGAGGCTGTCATACCCGCAGAAGTTAAAATCCCTTCTCTTCGAACCATTGTTGAAGCAGAAATCGAGGATACAGAATGGGTTAAATTGAGGTTGGAACAATTAGCACTGATAGAAGAAAAACGATTGACATCAATTTATTTTGGTCAATTATATCAGCAGAGGATGGCTCGGGCATATAATAAGAAAGTACGCCCAAGGAATTTTGAAGTGGGTCAACTTGTTGTGAAACGTATCCTTCCCCACCAAGACGAGGCCAAGGGTAAGTTTGCTCCAAATTGGCAAGGCCCTTATGTTATTAAGCAAGTGCTATCCAAAGGATCTTTGCAATTGGCGGATATGGAGGGAAAGGCAATTGACACAGTTGTCAATGCAGATTCGGTCAAGAGATACTACATTTAGCACTTC